TGCTGAAAGGTCAGAAACACAGTGAGGTTACTGACTTTCACTCCAAAAAAAAAAAAAAAAACAAAAAAAAAAACACCTAACACTATAGGCTTACCATATCTCTCTTATATTTTCTATATTTTTCTATCAATTATCAAATGAAATATGTTATCATGACTCATGTAATAGGTCCCAAAGATCTTGCTTAGATTCACAAGTTAATTCAAGAAAGTATAATTATCTATTAATATATTATGTATTATGGTCTCCTTTGAACTTTTTGTGACATTTCTAAAACAAAACTTTAACAGGTTCGTTCAACTTTTGAGATAGCTATCAAGTTAATGCAAGGGGTCTTACAAACTGTACGAGCTTAAAACAGTCAGCAGATGGGACATGTGACATTTCATACTTAGCGGTGCTACTAGTTTTCAAATGTCTGTGGATGCAGTCTGGTCAAATAACTGAAACAATTTGTCATTTTAGATTTTTTCAATGATGTTGAATATCCTACTAAAATAATGGAATAGTATGTGAGATTTTTCATGCTAAAAATAAGAATTTTTAACATAAAAACACACAAGTATACAAAAGAAGCAGACTTCAAGTAAGATGACAAACAAGACTGAAGTGGAAACATAAACCGCTCAAGGTCTGAGAAAACAGAAATGTGTTAAATGTGAAGTTGAGATCAGGAAATCTTCTGGTGATAGAGAGGAAGATGAAATCCAGTCCCAGAGGTGACCGAAAGGTGATGTCAGGAGAGCCCAGAAAACTTCAGACACAGACTAAACCATGAGGTTGGGACTGAGACTTAATGTCTTGGGTGTTGAAGAAAACAGGGCATTTGGTCACAGGAGACTTGATGGTCTCACCTTTACAAAGGGGACTACAAAGTCTCTTCTTACTAACTCATGGGAATAGAAAGAGCACTGGTATTTGACAAAACTCAATGGGAAACACCTCCTCTGAGCAACAGAATCCCCAAGAATCTGAGGCCAAGAAATTAATATTAAAAAAAAATGAATCCTATATGATAGAAAACTGTGGGGCCCAGATACAAGCAAGAGAGAAAATGTTTACACTTGCATTGTGCAGGTACACGGAACGGCGTCCTTCACTGGAGAGGGGCGCAGGATAAACAGCACTGTGGTGACAGAGCCAGCACAAGGATGACTCAGCAGATTAGTGAGCATGCGGATAAGCTCCAGGAGTAAAATATGAAAATAAGTGTTTTTCAAATGATGCAGTACCACCAACATAAAGATTCACTGGCTAGGTTGGCCACAGATGTAAGGAGAATGAGGGACTTAGATCACAAGAAGCACGGGACTACCTGAGAGGTAGCACAGGGAATCAACATGGAAAACACAGGAACGCCACCTCCCAAGATGCTCCCACCCCTTACTCTCCGTGCTCCAGGGAGGACAGAAAGGAGCACGTGGAGAGGAAATGGTTGAGAAGTTTCCTTGCTAAAGAAAGATGTAATTCTTCAGACTGAAGTTTCATATCTAGATGCTTTTGAGAAAAAAAAAAAAAAACTATGGAACTTCAAAATGAAGGGAAAGATTTTAAAGCAACTAGAAACAAAAGTCATTATATATAAAGTATAAAATTTGCACTGACATTGTCCATCTCATTAACAAAATAGAGGCGGGGTGGGTGCTCAGCCTAGGAGTTAGGGTGTCAGTGAACACACCTATACCCCACTGCAGTTCAGGACCCGGCTCCACCCCTGACTCCAGTTCCCTGCTCATGCAGGCCCAGGAAACAGAGCGCTGGCTCATGGATTGGCTTCCTGCTACCCACACGGGAGACTGGGATTGACCTCCAAGCTCCTGAATTCAGCCCTGGGCCAGCTCCATTTGGGCATCTGAGGATAGTGGATCAAGTGATCTCTTTCTCTTTCTCACATTCTCTCTAAATACATATATACATATACATGTATGTATATATATAATAATACAAATAAATACATACACATGTTCTCTCTGTATGTATGTTTGTGTGTGTGTGTGTTTGTCTCTTGAAACAAGCAAACGGGGCTGGCACTATGGTGTAGCAGGTTAAGCATCTACTTGTGGTGCTGGCATCCCATATGGGCGCCAGTTGGAGTTCTAGCTGCTCCACTTCCAATCCAGCTCCCTGCTAATGGCCTAGGAAATCAGTAGAAGATGGTCCAAGTGCTTGGGGCACTGAACCAATGTGGGAGACCCAGACAAAGCTCCTGGCTCCTGGCTTCGGATTGGCCTAGCTCTGGCCGTTGCAACCATTGGGGGAATGAACCAGCGAATGGAAGACCTCTCTCTCTGCCTCTTCTGTCTGCAACTCTGCCTCTCAAGTAAATAAATAAATCTTTAAAAAAAAAAATAAGCAAACAAGGCCCAGAAGACAGAGTAAAAATTTTTCAACATGCTGAAAGAATAAAATCCACAAGCTACAAATGCAATTCTGTGAAATGAATATTTAAAAATAAAGACAAATTAAATGTATTTGACCAAAACTGACAGGTATTTTTTGTAACTCATGGATCATCGCCTTTACCAAAGGATAAAATTCATTTAAAAGTAAGCTGAATCCAGGATGAAGAATGAGGTACAAGAGGGAGTGATAAGCAAACCCCTGAAAACTAAAATTAAATAAGTACTGACTAAATAAGCAGACAAGTTGAATAATTATCGATATGGTAGATTTCAGAAGTAGAACTTTGACACTAAGAAAGGAATAACAAGGAAGACAAGAGGAAGGCAATCTGAGTTCAAGTGAGGTCCTTGCATTGAGTGCAATGAAGATAGAGCTAGCGATTGCCCTTAGAATTAAGTAAGCATCTAAAAGTTTAAGGGCATCAATTGAAAGGACAAAAATAAAGTTAACTTTTAAAAGAATAGAATGGAATAAGGGGAATGAATAAAATTCTTTTTTTTTTTTTTTTTGACAGGCAGAGTGGATAGTGAGAGAGAGAGACAGAGAGAAAGGTTTTCCTTTTGCCGTTGGTTCACCCTCCAATGGCCACCGGGGCCGGCACACTGCAGCCAGCGCACCACGCTGATCCGAAGGCAGGAGCCAGGTGCTTCTCCTGGTCTCGCATGGGGTGCAGGGCCCAAGCACTTGGACCATCCTCCACTGCACTCCCTGGCCACAGCAGAGAGCTGGCCTGGAAGAGGGGCAACCGGGACAGAATCCGGCACCCCGACCGGGACTAGAACCTGGTGTGCCGGCGCCACTAGGTGGAGGATTAGCCTATTGAGCCACGGCACCGGCCAAATAAAATTCTACCAATCCAACAATAGGCTGCTTAAACATCTACCCTCTCCTACACAAGAATGGGGAAAGGAGAAAATACAAATGATGAGTCCAGACATATAAGTAATCATAATAATCATAGATGGATTAAATTATCTTGTTAAAATTAATTATCAAAAAGGGAAACTATACTCCATTATGGATTTTTAAGGTACACATTCAAAATATAATGATAGAGGAAGGTACAAAAGAAAGATATGGTAAAACGAAATATGATGTAGGATGAATTCCTGGAAGAGAAACTGTTCTATAAAAAGGTATATATTTCCCACTTAATATGTTGCAATGTGAGTTTACCAAAGTATATTCCCAGACAATAAATGAGTACCTGCTTTTATATTGTCCATCTAAAGAGAATGCTATCAAGTTTGATTCTTAACACTATTAAAGGTAAAAGTGGTATTTGTCAGTATGGTTTCAACTGGCATTTCTCTTACTGTGAGAATAATCATCATTTAAAGTTATTTTTTCTCAGTCATGGTATTGTTCATGTATTCAAAGGCTATTGATTTTCACATTAATTTTATATCCTGCTACTTTATCAAACTCTTTTATGAGTTCCAATATTCTCTTAGTGAAGTCTTTTGGTTCCCCTATATATAGAATCATGTCATCTGCAAATAGGCATATTTTGACTTCCTCCTTTCCAATTTCTATCCCTTTGATTTCTTTTTCTTGCCTAATAGCTCTGGCTAAAACTTCCAGAACTATATTGAATAACAGTGGTGAGAATGGGCATCCTTGTCTGGTTCCAGATCTTAGTGGGAAAGCTTCCAACTTGTCCCCGTTCAATAAGATGTTTGCTGTGGGTTTGTCATAAATTACATTGATTGTGTTGAGGAATGTTCCTTCTATACCCAACTGGCTTAAGGTTTTCATTGTTTTATTTTATCAAATGCTTTCTCTGTATCTTTTGAGATAACTATATGGCTTTTGTTCTTTAGTTTGTTAATGTGATGTATCAATCACATTGATTGATTTGTAAATACTGAACCATCCCTGCATAAATCCCACTTGGTCCAGGTGAATGATCTTTTTGATGTGCTGTTTGATTTGATTAACTAGTATTTTGTTGAGGATTTTTGTATCTATGATCATCAGGGATATTGGTTGACAGTTCTCTTGCTCTGTTGTTTCTTTTTCTGGTTTAGGAATTAGGGTGATGCTGGCTTCATAGAAGGAGTTTGGGAGGTTTCTATCCCTTTCAATTATTTTGAATAGCTTGAGAATTGGATTAGTTCTTCTTTAAATGTCTGGCAGGATTTAGCAGTGAAGCCAGCTGGTCCTGGGCTTTTCTTTGTTTTGAGAGTCTTTATTACTGATTCAATCTGCATCTTGGTTATTGGTATGTTTAGGTTTTCTATGTCTTCACCACTCAATTTTGATAGATTGCATATGTCCAAGAAACTACCCATTTCTTCTAGGTTTCCAATTTGTTGACATACGGCTTTTAATAGTAATTCCTGATGATTTTTTTTTTCCTGTGGTATCTGTTATTACACATCCTTTTCCATCTCTGATTCTGTGGATTTGTGTCTTCTCCCTCTTTTTTTGGCTAGTGGGGCCAATGGCGTATCAATTTTGTTTACATTTTCAAAAAAAAGCTCTTCATTACAATGATCTTTTGTAATTTTTTGTTTCAATTTTGTTATTTCTTGTCTAATTGTAATTATTTCTTTCATCCTATTAATTTTAGGTTTGGCTTGTTGTTTTTCTAGGTCCTCCAGATGCTTTGATAACTCACTTGTTTGGTGCCTTTCCAATTTCTTGATATAGGCACCAATTACTATAAACTTCCCTCAATACTGCTAAGGTCAATCCCATTCACAATAGCTCAAAAAATTAAATACTTTGGAATAAATTTAACCAAGGAAGCAAAGATCTTTATGACGAAAATTACAAAACATTAAAGAAAGAAACAGAAGACACAAAAAATGGAAAAATTTTATATGTTCATGGATTGGAATAATTAATATAATGAAAATGTCTGTACTTCTAAAAGCAATTTACAGATTCAATGTGATCCCAACCAAAATACCATGACATTCTTCTCAGATCCAGAAAAAATGATGCCAAAATTCATATGGAAACCAAATAGACCCCAAATAGCTAAAGCAATCTTAAACAACAACAAAAAAAAGCTGGAAGTATTTCAATACCAACTTTCAAGACATACTACAAGTTAGTTATCATCAAAACAGCCTGGTACTTGGAAAACAAAAAAAAAATGATGTGTAGAACAATGGAACAGAGTAGAAACTTCAGAAACCAATAGATGCATTTACAACCAACTTATCTTTGACAAAGGAGCTAAAAATAAACCCCTGGAGAAATGACAGTCCTTCAACAAATGGTGCTGGGAAAACTGGATCTCCACGTGCAGAGGTATAAAATATTACACCAAATACAAAAATCCACTCAAAGTGGATCAAGAACCTCAATCTATGACCTGATACTATCGAATTATACTACAGAACATTGGGGGGAACTCTGTAGACATTGGCATAGGCAAGGACTTCATGGAAAAGACCCAAGAAGCACAGGCAATCAAAGCCAACATTAACAAATGGAATTACGTCAAACTCAGAGGCTTCTGCACTGCAAAAGAAACATTCAGCAAAATGAAGAAGCAACTAACAGAATGGGAGAAATTATTTGCAAACTATGAAACTGATAAAGGATTAGTTTCCAGAATCTATAAAGAGCTCAAGAAATTCAACAACAAAATAAACAACCCAGTTAAGAAATGGGCAAATCACTTGAACAGGCATTTTTCAAAAGAAGATATTCAAATGGCCAACAGACACATGAAAAAAATGCTCAGGATTACTGGCCTCAGGGAAATGCAAATCAAAACCCAAAACCACAATGAGGTTCCTCCTTATCCCATTTAGAATGACTCTCATACAGAAATCAACAAACAACAAATGCTGGTGAGGATGTGGGGGGGAAAGTACTCTAATACACTGTTGGTGAGAATGTAAACTAGTACAACCATTGTTGAAGACAGTATGGAGATGGCTCAGATAGCTGAAAATAGATGTGCTATATATAAACCAGCAATCCCACACCTAGGAATTTACCCAAATGAAGTGAAATCAGCATATAAAAGAGTGATCTTTACCCCTGTGTTCACTGCTCAATTCACAGTAGCTGTGACATGGAATCAATGCAACTGTCCATCAACTGATGACTGGATAAAGAAATTGTTGTATATATACACTATGGAATATTACTCAGTGATAAAAAATAAAATGAAATCTTGTCTTTTGCCACAAAATGCATGCAACTGGAAGCCATTATACTTAGTGAAATAAGCCAGTCCCCAAAAGAGAGATACTATATGTTTTCCCTGATTTATGGTAACTAATAGAGTACCTAAAATGTAATGTATTGGAAAGAAACTGACATTGTGTGATTCAATGATTATTTACAGTCCTTGTCTCTACTGTGAAGGAAAAGTTTGTTTTTCTTCATACTTTGTTGAACTCTACTTAGTGTAGGATTAATCTTATGATTACAAAGTTAAGTGAAAATAGATCTTTGTAAAAATTAAGAGTGAGGATGTGAGAGGGAGAAGGAAGGATGGGAATGTAGGTGGGAGGGAGAGTAGGGTGGGATAAGAAGAATCACTATGTTCCTAAATCTGTATATATGAAATACATGAAATTTGTATACCCTAAATAAAATTTTCAAAAAGGAATTTTTGAAAGACATTTGTATAAGGGTACTTCAATAAGTTCAGGGGCAAATAGAATTAAAAATGTTTATTTTGGTGAAAACAAATTTGGAATTTCATGCATAGTTTTTAATAACATACACTTTTCATGAATTTTTTGAAGACCTGACATACACATGGATTTGACCTCTTTTTTTTTACAACATTACTTATTTAAATCCATTTGACATAAACTTTTTGAAGCACCCCCACATATCTTCTTTGATTTTTATTTTTAAATATTTTTGCCATTTTTCTCTACTGAGCCATTGGCCTTTTTAAGAAGAATTCTTTTCTATTAGAGAGATTAGTCTTTAGTGCATGATTGGAATTGCAAATTTTTCTTTTTTCAGGCAGATATTTTAAATATTTTTGAATTTATTAATCTTTTATGAGTTCTGAATGTTGAGTCATTATGAGAAAGGGTATCGCCTTGTTTCCTGGTGTAAAGGGTAGGATCACTAGGAGAGAGTGGGTACACTTGCTTATGGTAGTATTGCTGTGTTTCCTCTCTGTACTTCCATCAGCAAGCTGTGGCAGTGGTCCTGGTGTGAAGGGTGATGTGTGCTTCCAACTGTCATTTGTTTCCAGGTGGAACCCCCTTTTTCTAGTGCTCTTACTGAACACTGATTGCAGGTTTCTCCTCACCACAAAACTCTATTTCTTAACTTTCTGTTCCATCTCACTAGCCGGTCTATATGGTTTAGAAACCAGGAGTATTTTGATTTAATGATAACAAGTTTTTAAACTATTTTGATCTCTCAGGCTAGTTCCCTTCACATTACTTCCATAGAATTAAGAATTAGAATTAGAATTAAATAAGTAACGTTGTTATTAATTTTAATCCTAAAACATTACTTTATTTAATCCTAATTTGTTCATTTTCAATATAAAATTTAGACATAAATCTCAGATGTAAGTTCCATTTAATGGACCCACAAAAAAACCATACATTAAACAATTAGGTAAAATATATTATTCACAATCATGCATGTAGTGTTTTAGAAAGATGAATAAATACTAAGCCATAAAACAATTCTAAAAATGTCATATGTGCCACATTTTTTTAAGATTTATTTATTTATTTATTTGAAAGTCACAGTTACACAGAGAGAGGAGAGGCAGAGAGAGAGAGAGAGAGAGAGAGAGAGAGAGAGAGGTCTTCCATCCAGTGGTTCACTCCCCAGATGGCCGCAACGGCTGGAGCTGTGCTGATCCGAAGCCAGGATCCCATGTGGGTGCAGGGGCCCAAGGACTTGGGTCATCTTCTACTGCTTTCCTGGGCCAGAGCAGAGAGCTGGACAGGATTGGAGCAGCCGGGTCTTGCACCGGCCCCCACATGGGATGCCGGTGCTTCAGGCCAGGGCATTAACCCGCTGTGCCACAGCGCCGGCCCCAACATTTTTTAATAAATAAAATAACCATTGACTAAAAGATACCCACACTTTTTAAGCTCTATTTGCAAATCTCAAAACACTTTTAAGTCACTCAGAGACCAAATAGAAATTCATTATAGAAATAATAAGATTGTAAGTACTAAATAACAACGTAAGTTCTTAACCTCAAAAAAAAAAAAAAAAATAGAAAAAGCCCCACTGATACAGACTCGTTTTAAGAATAGGAAAAGAAGAAAAGCTACACAATCCATTGTATGAGGCCAACACAACCTGACATTAAAACCAGATTAAGTTCAATCTCACTAAAATAAAAAATAAGATAGTAGGCAAATTGAAATCAGCAGCATGTGAAAAATCAGCCCAGTGGGTTTTCTTGCCAAATATCAGGAAATTTCAATGTTTAGATTAAAGGAAGAAAAATGATATCTTAGTAGATGTAGATAAATTATTGGATAAAAAGTTGCTCAAAGATATCACCTCCTAGCATAAGCCTGTAACAGATATCATACTTTATGATGAAACTTCAAGATCACTCTTTTTTTTTTTTTTTTTTTTTTTTGACAGGCAGAGTGGACAGTGAGAGAGAGAGAGACAGAGAGAAAGGTCTTCCTTTTTGCCATTGGTTCACCCTCCAATGGCTGCTTGCGCTGATCTGAAGCCAGGAGCCAGGTGCGTCTCCTGGTCTCCCATGCGGGTGCAGGGCCCAAGCACTTGGGCCATCCTCCACTGCACTCCCTGGCCACAGCAGAGAGCTGGCCTGGAAGAGGGGCAACCGGGACAGAATCTGGCGCCCCGACCGGGACTAGAACCCCATGTGCCGGCGCCGCAAGGCGGAGGATTAGCCTAGTGAGCCGCCGCACGGGCCCAAGATCACTCATTTTATGGTTAGAAAGGAGACAAGAAGGCACTTGTCATTATTTTCATGCAACATTATTCTGGAGGTTCTAGCTAATTTTTTTATGGCAAAGCCAGAAAAAGCTGTATAAAAATTGGAAAGGAAGAAACTGAACTATTCATATTTGATCATGATACGACTATCTACACAGCAAACACCCAGAGAATCTACCAACCCATATGTAGTTAGTTAGAGAGTTCAGAAAGATTGCTGTGAAAAATCAATGCTCTTAAATAGAATGTAATATGATTAAAAACTACTTAGAAAACATTTTTGTAAGTTCACAATAGCAAGAAATGAAACAAAAGACTTTAAGATATCAGAATTAACAATGACATATAAGACTTTTTGGAGACAACTACCAATGGCTATTGACAAATATAAATAGAAGCAGGGCAGTCTTTGTACATAGGTGAACACATCGACTATGCTCATGGATGGGTGGACCGAAACAGAGAGATGGTGACTCTGCCCAGATTAATCACTATCTTGATAGCTTGCTGCTTTACTACAACAACAGATGGCTTTGTCTAACTGGAAGATATTAATTTCTGAGTAACAAATCTGGACCTGGGACTGGAGAATCAGATTACTTTATAGAATAACCTTATTTTAAGTTGCTGTCAAAAATGCTAACAAGACAGCTAAAGGTCAGTTGGAAGCAGGTCTCGAATTTATGCACACTTAACCTTTATTATCCAGGAATTGGCTGTTCCTAACAGTAGCAGCCAATCAGTGATACTTCCAAGTGCAATAAATAAAAAAGAAATAATCCCTTGTTCTCCGACTTTGAACATGCCCAGTCTCTATCACCTGTCATAAAGTTAGAATAATTTCCTAAAACTTTTTAAATGGCATTTATTTTAACCAGAAAGGGATAAAGAGGAGCAAAGAATATATTAAAATACATTTTCAACGTTTCTCTTTCATTTATCACATTTCTTTGCAATGCCAAAAGTGGTATAATTTAGTCATAGGTGGAGAATGATAATTATACTGTGGGGTGACAAGTGTCCATAAAACAGAGAAGCAAGAAAGAGATGACAAACGTGGAAAATCTTGGCAGCTTTAGAAAAGCAAGAAAAATCTGTATAAAAATTGGAAGGGAAGAAACAAAACTGTTCATATTTGAGCATGATATGACTGTCTCCACAGTACACCCAGAGAATCTACCAAGATCGAGACACAGTTAAAAACACTACTCGTAGCTTTTACCACTGGTATTGATTGGAAACTGAGGCACTATTTTACAAGAACTGTTGATGAGCTGGATAACATGTGACATATCAGTTTAAACACATTCAGCCAAGTAAGCAGAGCTAGAAAGATTAGGAGCGGTCAGTGTTGGCACAGCAGTTAGGATGCCAGTTGGAACGCTGGCATCCCTATCCGAGTGCCCGGGTGTGGGTCCCAGCTCCACTGCCAGCTCCGGTTTTCTGCTAATGCGAGCCCTGAGAAGTCACAGGAGGCAGCAAGCATGGGTCAAGCAGCTGGGCTCCTGCCTCCCACGTGGGAGACACGATTCGAGTCCCAGGCTCCCAGCTTTGGCCTGGCCCAGCCCTGGCTAATGCATCTGGTGAGCGAACCTGAAGACGCAAGTTCTCCGTCTCTCAAAGAAATGTTTACAGATAAAATAAAGAGGTTGGGAAGAATTCATTTAAGTGAAGTCAGTGCCACGAAGTAAATTTAAGAATAAATTATTACTTTAGTAGCCATATTGTCTGTCTCTAACATGCGCATATAATTCTATCATATATGCCTACACATACATATAGATACACATAGCAGAAATTAGTTCTAATTTATTGAAGTTCTTAACATTTGGGATGTTTTTATATTTCTGATCTTCACTTAGGAAACTCGAGCAGCAATTACTGAATGGTTACACTAGTTATAGTGTCATGTTGAATGTTAGAGAGGGTAGACAGTGGGTAGGAAAAGAGGAGAGTAACTAGAGAAATATGACGTATTTCATCATATGTGTAGTTTTATATGGACAGTGTGTTGAAGAACGAATCAAGGTCACTCTCCCAGTGTGGAATCAGGCAGAGTTGGGTTTAAACTTAACACTTGCAGGAGGGTACTTCAAAAGTTCATGGAAAAAAATGGAATGAAAGGCAAATTTATTTTGGTGGAAAAATAATTGAAATTCACTCATAGTATTTTCATCACATTCATTTTCCATGATCTTTCTGTGAACTGCTCATGTGCATGGATTTCCCAACTGTTTTGTACCAAAATAAACTTATTGATAAGCTCCCCTCTCCCCCTTGTATGTAATGAGCTCCACCACTTGGCAATCTTGACTGGTGGGAACTCTCCCAGTCCCGCTGGTGTGAGTTCATCATGAACACAATGCTGCCTCATTCCAGCAGGTGGTCAATGGTGTTAATGCCCTTCTGCAGAGAAAATGATACAATCACAAAAAGTTAAGTAAAATTTCAAATGGTTGAAGGCCAAATGAAGGGTACACACCAAGGCTGTAAATACAGGAAGAAAACCATAGGGAAAGGGGGATAATTATGGGCTGGAGAGAGTGGAGAAAGTGTCACTGGAAGTGGGGACTTAGCGCAGCCCTGTAGGATAGGAAGGGGTGAGCCTCACGCAGAGATGGGGGCTAGTTTGGTCCACAGTGACCTGACTTGGGATGAAATGACAGGGAGTGCTGGAGAGGCAGGAAGGGGCCCCTGTGCCAGGCTGGGTCTGAACTGGACACTCCAGGAGACAGGGGAAATAGAAATGACCAAAGAAGCATTGGCAGTGATGGGCTTGCAGCAGAGCCCAGGGAAGGTCAGAATGCAAGAGTGGACATTGAGGGGACATCGAGGGGGCACAATCTTCTGCTCACAGACCATAGACCAGAAGTGCAAGAATGGAGCCACAGGGGCCGGATCATGGCATTTATCCAGAAGGCAGGTTGAAAACGACAGGAGGATATTCACATAGGGAAGAGAGCGGAAGGCTACTTCGCAGGACTGGATGCTCACTCTGGCACTGAGAACTGGGAGCCTGATGGAGTATGCCTCACAGCCAGGTTCCCTGCACTCGGGGCAGGTAAAATGCCAACACCGCTAGAACAAGAGAGCTTGAGCAGCCACCAGCACTGGATCCAGGCTGTGGCTTCAGCAGGACACTCTGGGGGGAGGCCCACAGTTCTCGGAGCCACACTTCCGGCTCCGGGAGAGTCAGCACCAGTGCTGCTGATCACGGAATCACGTGTGTCAAGACCGTGGGGGTCTTAGAGGCAGACTGTGAGGGGGGCTCCGAGGACAGTCCTCAGCCAGGAGCACAGCCAGAGGCTGAAGAGGGGGTGAGGAGAACCATGCAGGAGTGGGGTGTCTATGACCTTTGTCGGATGCTCGGCTAACCCATCCCAGGAGAGACAAGCGACAGTTACAGGAAACATGAAACCTGACGGGGTGCATGCAGCCTAGTACATAAGCTGTGTCGTGCCAATATACAAATTGGTTTTTTTTTTTTTTTTTTTTTTTTTTAACCAGGGCAGAAATACTTACACAGGAACTCGCGCTGCCTCATGAAGAGGCCTGCTGTCAGCTCTCACCAGGACCATGCCCCTCACTCCCCACGCTACAGTCCTGCCTGGCCACCATCAGGTCTGTGCACCCGATCTTCCAGCTTGCCAGGGAGCTCTCTGTGCAGCCTTGGGAACCAGGAGGTGAGGATAACTGGTAAGACTCTACTGTTAAAAATATCTCCATGCGTTTATCAATTAAGGTTTAATTTCATTTCTTTTCAGAAACAAAACACCTTTTGGAACATTTCCGCGGCCATGCTGTGCATATCTTGCAGTACAACTATAATTAGATCATCTAATTGCTCCTCTCCAGGTACTGAAAGAATTCAACAGTTTGATAGGGAGGAGTGAAAAGAAAGAAGCGGTGGTTTTGATGCATGGAGCATTTCGGGGAGGTATGCACAGAGGGAAGAGCCACTGTGGAAGGTGTGGGGGGAAATGGCACCAAACTGCTACAAAGTAAGCCAGCTACCTGACCCTGTTTGTCACTGATGGGTGCAGCCAGGAGAGGGTGATGGGGACTGTGGAGCAGAGCACTGGCTCCAAAGCCTCAACTCAGCCCCTGAGGACTAGCGGATGAATCCCTCCATGCCTTGGTCTACCTGTCTGTAAAATAGGGCAATGGCAGCACCTGTCTCGCAGACACTGTTGTGAGGCAATGCATGTAAACAGATAAGAGCAGTGCCTGGTAACAGGAGGAAATCAACAAATGTAAGCCCTAAGGCAACAGCAAAGGAATCCTCCGATATCTTCATTATTTTTTGCCTCTTTATAAACAGCAAATATCAGTTGACTTCCTCTATATTTACGGTAGTCTTTGAGTTTTACTCTGTAGAGAAAAATCAATCCTCTTTTTGGTATGCCAACGTTTTCTTACACTATTCTGGTGCTCCTGTCATTTTGTTTAAAGTGATGAAGCACAGGAGTCATTTGCGAAGGACACAGAACAGAGTCCTGAGAGCTCCCAGGTCAAAGACCGGCCTGCATCGGCGTCTGCTTGTGGCTCAGGGGACTTCCAAGTAGGTCAGACAGAAAATGACGCCATCTTTTGGGGCTGGCAGGGGGTAACAATCAATCTAGAGGACAAGAACATGAAATGCCGAAAATATCATTATTTTTATGAAACATCGTACTTGGCCAAGTGTATTTTGTTTGCATACAGATAAGTTCTTGTTTATAAAAGGACCACAGATATGTAAACAAGCTGGCTAAATCACAGTACACAAATTTATTGGTACTACATTTATCAATTAAAATCTCTGCCAATTTTTCAGTGAAAATACATCTGTCTAGTAGAATCCCTGCTGTCAGAGTTTGACCTTGGGGCCACACACCTAAGTATGCTTTTATAGCAAATACCACATTTATAATCAAGTTATTTTGACATTTTAGAATTGTATACCAATGGCACACACACACAAAATACAGTCAGTACACCAGGTTGTAATTTTGGAAACAAGAATTTTAAGCCACACATCAAAGCAGAGCCTTTGTCTGTTGGTTCGCCCCCCAATGGCCGCTGTGGCCGGCACGCTGCGGCCGGTGCACCGCGCTGATCCTAAGCCAGGAGACAGGTGCTTCTCCTGGTCTCCCATGAGGGTGCAGGGCCCAACCACTTGGGCCATCCTCCACTGCACTCCCAGGCCACAGCAGAGAGCTGGACTGGAAGAGGAGCAACCGGGACAGAATCTGGTGTGCCGGCGCCGCAGGCGGAGGATTAGCCTAGTGAGCCTCGGCGCCGGCCCAAAGCAGAGCTTTTAAAACAGGTGTTTCCTTTTTGCTATGAGAAACCCTGAACTTAGTACGAAGTATAAAGAGAATTTCCTTGAACTCATTGGAGGTGACAGAAAGCTCCGACGCACACAGAATGAAGAGGCCATTCTCACACTTCTCATTATGCCACTGGTGAGGCTGGAGTGGCTCTTCCCTGTGAACTCTGCTGTGCCTGTTGGGGTCTGTTAGGGGACATCGAGCATCAGTGTGCAGGGTGTTCTTTGCTCTTCTGCTGTTTCTATCTTGAAATTTCTTGCATCAACTTCTATTCCATCAGCTCCAGCATTCCCTAGCCTTGGTGCTTACTGCCTCGTGCTACTAACTGTGCATGGCCGTCATGATCCAGCTCCAGAGGGTATTTGTAGATAGTCGGCATGCTCTGGCAGGAGAGAAACAATGCTCAGTTCAGCCATGACAGTTGGCATCACCTTCCCACTATGGTCTAAAATAAACTCTGAGAATGAACGCACCCTTCTCAGTTTGGGAGTAGAGGAAATATTCTAAAGTGCGTGGTTATTGAAGACCCATTTCACGTAGGACAAACATGGTCAAATGATACCTTATGTTCAAGTCCACAGAATAGTTCATCTTATCATGAACTTGGGGTACTACAAGTGCTTGAAATCAATAGCCTTATGGTTCTGAAATTTAACAACATCCGGTTGTGCTCCAAGCATTCCCAGTCCCCATGAACTTCACTCCCAGCTCAGACGGCCTTCTAGTCATCCCAAGGAAGGATTCAGCCCTGTGTAGCACCAACACATTCACAAAGACCTCTCCCAGGGCATTTGTGATGCTGTGTCCTTGTTTCTATTCTGTCCCCCTCACCACTGTGGGCCCCGCATGGCACAGCCTATCCATTTGTTGACCCATAACATTTCTCATCGACTCACGGCAGAGCCCATGGTGTATTTGTTGAATGACTTAATCAACGAGCAGATTCTTCAGTGCCCCATCAGCACTGCTCCTCTTTGCTTCATTTCCCTAGGGTACAGCTGGACCACTCTTTTTTTTTTTTTTAAATCCTCTGCCCATGCTGCTTGCCTGCAAAAGCCCTTCTGTGGCTGTGTGCAGGGTGAAGCTTAAACCGTGACCATGGCATCTTCTCCACAATTTTTCCTCAAGTTCTCTTTCGGCTTCCTGTTCTGACATTTCACCCTGACATCCAAATGCAGTTACACTATATATCTCCCTGCTAGCTGATTACGTCCTGCTCTTCTGTGTGTCTGGAGTACTTTTCCAGTTTTTCCATTTTTATGTTTGCCTCTTTGTTCTTTATTATACCTTACACATGTTGCATCTTCTCCATATAACAGCTACCAGTGTAGACTTTGATGCTTAAGCCCAAATTCTGCCCCTGCCTCTGAGCCCATATTAGTGATTCGAACTCGGGGAAGTCCTCTCAAGCTTCCTCATTAAAGTGGGGCTGAGAATAGAGTTTGCTTTTCCCACCTATGATACATAACACACGTAGTTACTTCATGGATACCATCTAGAACACTGCTTGACACACATTAATCATTATTATTGCCAGTGTAATACACAGCATTAGACCTGTTCTGTTCTAATTACATGGCAATCAGAGTGTGTGCACAAATATTTACTGTTCAGTTGTGTGAATTAGATCTCCCATTGCCCTTCTAGTTGGAGTGGGGAAGGACAAAGAAGTGCCTCTCTGACAGGAAGGGGCAGTAGGGGCAGGAGAGAGGAATTGGAGGGGGAGTGGAGAGCATTCTAGTCTCAGATCTTGTCCGGGTCAGGGTGGAGGCTGTGTGTGTGTAAATATGTTCACACATATGTGTGTATGAGAGAGGGATAGAGAAGATAATGGGGTGCCCACATATGCTGATCGAGGAGCATGGCTGTTGGCTGTTAAACTTGGTTTCTCAGGACTTGGGCCACGGGGGGCTGACAGGGACACAAAACCCAACATAGCCAGATCCCAACAGCACCAGTGTGAGCTGAGCACTGGGACTCAGCCAACAGCCAAGCTTTGGGGACAGTTATCAATGCTAAGAGAACAGACCAAAACCAGGCCAGTCATGGCAGCCTCAGCAACAGATACAAGGAAGGAGGTCCACACCCAAGGGCTGGTCAGGTGACCTGTGAGCTCAGCTGGAAGCCTGGGGGAACGAGCAGAGAAAGACAGCGTGAACTTGATTCTCTGCGTACGAGACATCTCAGCTTCCGCCTATGCCCAGGTGATGACAACTGGGCAGGAGAGAGGGAGGAAGAGGAGAGGCGCACTAGGACAGGACTGGTGTCAATGCCTCTCTCACCCTCTCCCACCTGAGAGGAATAGCCGAAGCCAGAAGAGAGCAGTTACTGACCAGAATGAGGGTTATGATCGTTGGCAGCTCACACATTTGTTCCCATCACCTTCAGTATGCTCCCGCTGCCGACACATGTACACACACGTGTGCATGAGTCAGCCCTCATTGGGGTCTCTCTCTCTCTGCTTTATATCTGGCCCAGAGCTCAGCACGGCACACAGTCTGCCACACAGACCTGGATGGCTGGCTGGCTGGATGAACAGATGGAAGGGAAAACGAGGGAGCGAATGAAGGAATAAATTGCTTTTAGTTAATTTGCCCTTCTCTAGATCAAATGCCTTTTATTTTAGTGTGTTTTTCTGTAAATTTCAGCAAAATATGTCAAGCAAGTATTGGTTTCAGACCTCCTGGATTTAGTCATCTGGGATAACAACTCATTTTGTGTGACTTTAAATCCTTCATTTCAATCCCCTTTTGATTCACAAGTGAGAACCAGAATTCCATTTAGGGTAAAATGACTCGCCCAAAGGCAGAAAGTGATTGAAGTGCCCGCTCATCAATCCTAACTTATTTAGGCTCATTGTTCTTTTCTCAACTGGAAAGGGGCCTTTGATTTCATTTAGTCCCCTGTACTTTCAGTTCATGAAATGTGTCAAACAAGGCACAGATTATTAGTCTACGAGCTGCTGCCTCCTTCCAGGGCTCTGCGCTGTGTTCCACGGCATGCAGCCCTGAACAAGGCACAGAGTATCAGTCCATGAGCCGCTGCCTCCTTCCAAGGCTCTGCGCTGTGTCCCACGGCATGCAGCCCTGAACAAGGCACAGAGTATCAGTCCACGAGCCGCTGCCTCCTTCCAGGGCTCTGCACTGTGTCCCACGGCATGCAGCCCTGAACAAGGCGCAGATTATCAGTCCACGAGCCGCTGCCTCCTTCTAAGGGTCTGCGCTGTGCCCCACACATGCAGCCCTGCAGTGCCTGGCACACACTGGCAGGCACAGTGTTGGTTACAGACACAGTGCAATTCTCTTTAGGACCTGGAACTACAGGAAACAAGAGAGCTAAGAAGTCCCTCAATGCTAGACAGTTTTCACACACAGAGATATACAAAATAGAGAAAAAAAAAGTTGAACAAAATAAGGTTGAATGCTTTAGATGGGGAAACCTTCCACCTTTCAATGTGCTATTAGAATTAACAACGGATTTTACTGATTAACTCAGCAAATCTGAGCATATTGAGTCAGAAAACTGAAATATCAGTTGTGTCCTTACACCATGATGAGAAATAAAGCACCATTCGAAAGTGTTAAAATCATCAAGAGGGTCGAGAGCAAGTCTTGGCTTTGTTGCTCCCAGTGGTTTGCTGATAAATGGATGCTCTGTTTCGTAGTATTTGCTGACTTTTGTCACCAAATTAAAATCACTAGGAAAGGGGCCGGCACTGTGGTGTGGTGGGTAAAACTGCCGTCTGCAGTGCTGGCATCCCATATGGGTGACGGTTCAAGTCCCAGTTGCCCCACTTCCCATGCTGCTCCCCGCTAATAGACCTGGGAAGGCAGTGGAGGACGAACCAAGTGCTTGGGCCCCTGTACCCAAGTGGGAGATATGGAAGAACCTCCTGGCTCCTGGCTTCAGATTAGCTCAGCTCTGGCTGTTGCGGCTATTTGTGGAGTGAACCATTGGATAGAAATTCTTTCTCTTTCTGTCCCTCCTCCCCTCCCTCCCTCCCTCCAACTGCCTTTCAAATAAAATAAATAAACATTAAAAAAATCACCGGGAAAAGGTGCACAGATCAATAAATAAAGCTTATGTTGTGACTTCCTGCACTTTAATAGAATGTTGCCTAATTCCATACAGAGAAACATTCTTCATGCGCAAATGTATTATACCTTTGTACTATGGAACCTGATTGATCCCACTACGTCACAGAGTGTGTCCTGACTGCCCAGGCCTCCAAAGCACAGCTGCGGTGTAACACAGCGTGCCACCCGGGTGATGCTATGCATTTTACAACAGACAAGATTTCATCTCTCTCACTCTGGACAATGTGAAAAAAAACTATATAAAATTTGGAAATACAAATCAAAAAATGAATAAAAAGATTTATGTTACTGAAATCACTGAAACTAATTTCCTCCTTCTTGTTCAAACTTTTTGGTATCTATCATGTGTTACTTCCTTTCATCTTTGGCCCGCAATTGCTTTCCTCCTGCTGCCTGCTTCCTGCTGGCAGGTCTGACGCTTCTGGCCAACAAGGACCCCCCCCCCCCCCCCCCCCGTCACATGAGGCTTGCTCAATGGCACGGACCAAAAATTGCCAACTTAGGTCAGCTTTGAAGCTGACTGGTCGGTGGACTGTGTGGTTTAGCAATGTCATCAAGCAGTGAGGTTCCTTCCAGATTTCCTCCGTGCTATCCATAGAGGGTTGGCTAGTTCGCCTTCTTATAATGAAATGACTGCAGAAGCTCCAAGAGACAAGTTGAGACATGGCAGCATTCAGAAGCAGGAGAAGGAGCAAGACGACCGTCTCAGATTCCGCTGTTCTCCTTTTCAGCCTTGCCATTGAGCCACCACTGCCCTCCTAAGCAGTGCAACCAAATGTGCTGACCACAGCTGCCTCTTCCTGTCTTTATCCTTTGGGATAATGGATAGAACAGCATGTGAGCAAAGCCCCCTCAAAGTATGTACAACAGCAGGGTCCTAGAATGATTGTAAAGATGCCATAAACAGGCCAGCATGTCCCCCGAGAAGCTGGTGACAGACAGCTGGTGTGCCCCTTCCTGTGGCTGCTGGGACAGTGGTGAGAAGCACACAGGGCTTTGTCTGTGAGACACAGTCTGACATGAGTCTTACAGGCTGCAGTGATCCTGCAGGCTTGGGGGAGGCATAGGCTGCCTGCGTTTCCTGGTTTGGGTCCCTTCCTCCACCTTGAAAGCATCTCTCTAACTTTGACCTTCTTGCCGCCCCTTTGCAAGGAATATCCTTCATGCTCACACGGATCCCACCTGGGTGATCTGGAAGAATCTCCCGTCTCCAGATGTGACTTAGTCACACCCGTAAAGTGCCCTTTGCCCTAGGGGAGAACAGGTTTCCAGGCTCTGGGGATTAGGAGCTGGACACCTTTGGGGGCCAAGTACTCTGTCTTCCACCTTTGTGGGTTGTAAAGTGACACCCCTAACAGATTTGTAAGAAAACTGTTTCACTGCCACAAAGGGAGGCTAAGAGTTGGAGTGACTGAACTAGGCACAAGCACAGTAATTGAGATCATTGGGATTAGCCCTCACAGAGAGTCACAATTTCATATGGGTAAAGCACCATCAATATCTTCAAGTTATTGAAGACGTTTTTAATAACTTAAACTTTATATATGAAAAAAAGAATTTTCATCAGTTAATTACATTTGGAGTGCTGTTTGTATGGGGATGATTTTACTCATTAAAACACTGGTGCAGGGGAGGAATGCCAGGCGCTGAGGCAGGGGTGGGGGCTGCAGGCTCTCACATTTTACACTGTCGTCACCCAGTGGTGACGTGGCATCAGTGGGAAGCAGGCTTTGCTAACTGTCTGTATGCCTGGAGCTGCATCTCACTGGCGCCCCAGACACCCCTACGTCCCCAACTCCTCACTGGCCATGAAGGCCATGAAAGAATGGACACTACTACTGAAGTGCTCTCTGCTGACACTGCTGTGTCCCCTCTGGGGGAAATCCAGGTGGGCTGTGTGGGGATGGGTCAGTGTATCCCGCAGGAAGTGAAGGAGGGGAGGATTAAGGGACTGCCTTCTAACATGTACACGTAGATTTCTTCTGTTCATGGAAGGCTGCAAATATACGTGCGAATACCTTTGAAAATGCTCTCATCACATAGGGGCATTAAATGAATTTTATTCTTTTTAAGATTTTTATTTATTTATTTGAGAGGCTGAGTTACAGAGAGAATGAGGGGAATCTTCCATCCACTGATTCACTCCCCAGATGGCTGCAATGGCTGGGGCTAGGGCCAGGCTAAAATCAGGAGCCAGGAGCTTCTTCCAGGTCTCCCACGTGGCAGCAGGAACCTAAGCACTTGGGCCATCTTCTCCTGCTTTCCCAGGTGCCAGCAGGCAGCTGGATGGGAAGTGGAGCAGCTGGGATTCAAACCAGAGCCCACATGTGATGCAAACACGGCAGACAGTGGCTTAAGTTCATTTAATGAATTTTAGAAATTCAGTTCTTACACTGAAACAACGATTTTAAGAGAGAAATGATTCCATATTTTAGCCAATACTTTTCCATTTGCTTGCATCATTAAATACAGCACAATTTTCCATGTAATGAATGTGGTATTATATAGAAATTAGATCTGTTCAACATTAAATGGCGAGAAAGCCCTGAGCAGTCAGATAGCCTTGAGGAAGAAATCCGCAAGCCTCAGGGAAATGCAGAGTGGCCGGGCGCACAGTCTGTATGAAACACACAGGCGACACTAGAGTCACACTCTATTTCCAGCCCAGGTTGAAGAAAACAATGCATTTCTCAACCTTTGATAGCACGCACTTCCATTCACATATGTTATGGTTGCTCAGGAGAGGCAGGGGCCTTCAGACAGGCCCGGGGGCACCCACTGTGGGTCTCCATTTTTCAGGGAGGCACGGGGGGGCATTGCCTATCCTTCCACATCCACATGAGACATGTCCATGTTTTCATATTTGATGGACAACGACCCACTTCCCTCAGGGCTTCCAGTGTAGGTGCAATCCCAACAGGCCACCTGACATCAAGACTCATCCTGGGAAGGAGCCCCTGTAGCACCCTCAGTTTGCTGTGACGGCGCCACTGTGCCCCGTCCCTCTGTGCCCAGGCCTGTACCTCTTCTAGCTATGTCACATTCACTCATTCAACATATATTTCCTGGCTGCTTCTGTGTGCATAAAATCGATGCTCTCGGCACAACCAAGATGGACACAAATCTCCTCCCATCCAGCCCGCTCCCAGGGACCTGCTGGTCAAGTGGAGAACACAGACCAGTGTGCAGATTCCCAGAGGGGAGGGGGCTCTGGAAGGGGACAGGGAGATAACCTAAGGGGGCTCCTGGATGGCTTTCCTGCCAATGTGCCACTAAGGCCATCACACTGTAGGAGTTTGATGAGTTTTAAATATGTTTTCTCACATTTCTCCTTTATTATAGCATTCATCTGGCTATTAAGAGTGTTTTTACTTTTGATGCTTCAAATGCAATTAATCATTCCCTGAAATTGTTCTATCAACGTGCTTTAATAATTAGAAAGGTCACATATATTCAACAGTAATAGCTCACCTGCACCAGAATAACTTTGGGGAAAGTATAATATGCAATAATATTTGCCATTAGATAAACAAACTCCATTAACTGTGAAAACAGATGAAAATGGAAGCCTGAAGGATCATTTTAAGCACATCCAGTTTCATAAATGAGAAATAATGTGAGGAGGAAGACAGATTTACTTGACTTGTCTGAATCAAAGGACATTGACTGGTTAAAAGCATATAATTTTCCCCTCTGGGTTCTAATATCTGGATTCTTACACTAGGCTCTTAGAAAACTCTCATTCTGTTCTTCCTTATCAAATTGATATTTGGAAAAACAGAATATTTTTTCACTCATTGTCTAAACTGGACATCCTTCTGCATTAGCCAAACACAGGAACACGTTAGGCTTAAGCGGGGTTGCTATGCATGTGTGCCCTGAGCCTGACTCCTGGCTCTGCCCTGAGGCTGCCCGGGATGAGCACAGGCCTGGCAACCTGCAGCCGTGGTACTTTCCCATTCTTTTCCCCACAAATCAAAGGCAAAGCCCCAGACTTGAAGCTCAAAAGGAAAGCAGAGCCTAAGTATGCTGGGTGTTAATGCTTGCAGCAGATCTTCATTGCACTGCACTCCCGACAGGACGCACGGTCGTTCACTTAGAATAGCGGTTTGCACTAAGCATCAGGAATTGCCCAGGAGGAGGAGACCTGTGGGGAGAGCTCAGGAGACATGGCAAGTTTGCCACTGACTTGAAAATAAGACTGAGGTGTCTTCTAATTCTTCAGCAAGTAAAGGTAAAATCTGAAAGACACTGGGAAAGCCTTGTGAGGACAGCAGCCCTTCAGGACTGGGTACTCACGAAGATTGCTCCCTTCCATTCTTGATAGGGTAGAAATCTCACAGGAAGAGAAGTAGGGAATAATGGAAGCCAATTCAGCATCAATTTATTACAAGAAAATCATGACCCAGGACAAATCTAAGGAAATTTCATTATTCCTAAATCTCTGACTTGCCACATGGATTTCTAAAATGTTGAACACTGTGAGAAAACTAACAAATAACCCACAGAGTGAGGGTTCAGTGCCACAGCTAATTCCATCACACATAACCACGGATGAGTCACTGGAGCAGGTAATTAGAGCCGGCATGAGGCCCACATGCATTTCGGAGCTTCCTGGGCCTCTTGTTTGATGAGAAGTAAGCCCTACCACACTGCTCCTCGCCTCAGCTGCAGACCCTTCACACGGCACAACCATGGCACCGCCATTCTCGTTGGGGGCAGTCCCTGGACGCTGGCCCTGAGGAACCTCACAGCGTCTTCCCCACATGGAGAATCAGAGTGGACTCAGTGAGGTGACAAACGACTCACTGGAGACAGTGCCTGCTCACCTCCACGTGGCCCGGTCATCTCTGTAATTGAAATAACATTACTGTCCTTTTATTTTCTCTCTTTCCCACTAAACTAAAGGAGGCTCTCTTGGTTATCAGTGAGTCCCCAACTCAGAGTACAGTGTATATTATTATTACAATAAATACTTGTTGACAGTTGAGACGCATTACTGCGTGTCCAGTCCTGCCCTCCACCCTAGTTTGAATGCATGTTCCTCCCTCTCCAGTCCACGTGGAAGGCTGACGGCCCCACAGAGCATGACCGAAGGCTAACTGAGCACAGCCCAGCAGCCGCCCAGCAGTAGGGGCTGTGCACAGCTCTTCTGGAAAAGTAACTCAACTGTTTAGGGTATTAAAAACTGATGTCTACGAGATAAGGTTATGACGAAAGTTTTGGTATGTTATAGGAGGGAAGCTTGACACAGAATGATGAGAGGCAGGCGAGGAGATGATCCTGCAGCCCTTGGGGCAGGATGGGTGTCCAGGGCAAGGGGGTGGAAGTGCTGGGGCGTGCGTGGCCTCAGGAATCTCAGAAAGGAGAGGCCCAGGCTGACCACAGGGCAGTGATGATACGTGAGGCTGCAA